GAGAGAGAGAGAGAGAAAGCGTACATTTATTCAGCGCTCTGGGATAAAATCCCCTCAAGCGCACAAGAATTTACAATTGTGCGTACATAAGAATAATCAAAACCAAAACACAAAAAAAAAATAATACAAAAATAGTATGATAAAATTAAGACAACGAGAAAATAAAATAAAATAAAATAAAATACAAATAAAAAATAAAAATAAAAATAAAAATACAAGATAAACAAAAAAGTTAACAGAGCAGAAACAGGTGCGTCCGATGATTAGCAATCAATTGCAGAAATGCTTGCCTTAATTATTAATTAAATATTCATAGAAGCAATACTTGAATTCGTTTATTGAGCGCGCATTTCGAATAGTTGACGGTATCCCATTCTAAAGCTTCGACGCAGTAAATTTAAAGGAATGTTTATACATTTCCGTCCTGCAAGATGGTAGATAGAAAATCATCTGCAGCTCTGGTTTCCCTGCATGACTCCGCTCTCCGAAAAGCTAAATCATTATACAATGGTTCAGGTTGTCGACTCTTGATGATATTGAACAGAAGGCACCCCACGAAAAAATTTCTTCTCGCATCCGCCTTAAGCCAATGCAATTTTTTATAAAAAGGCGTCATGTGCTCATATCTCTTGATGTTAAAAGCAAATCTAATGCAGGCATTCATAGCTCTGTACAGTTTTAGATTGAGTTCAGCAGTTACGTCGGTAAAGGCAGCACAACAGTAGTCCAGGTGCGGAAAGATAAGCGAAGTTATCAAATTCATCTTGAGTCTGTCAGAGAGTAAGTTCTTAGAAATTTTAAGCTGATATAACTGTGTACGCATCTTATGTATAACACTAATAATTTGTCTGTCCCATGATAAAGTTTTGGAGATACGTATTCCCAGATATGTAACACATGTAGAAAAAGATACATTAGCATCACTAACTTTGATATGAGGCAAATCATTGATGTCAATAGAATAAATGTATCGTGCAGTACCAAAAACAATAGCTTGTGTCTTATTAGAGTTGAGCAAAAGTTTGTTCCGAACCGTCCAATCAACAATACATTTAATGTCTTCATTAATACGTAAAATGCAATCACTCAAGTTCCTCATATCACTATGCAAATATATTTGCAGGTCGTCAGCATAGAAATTATACTTGCAATATTGTATTATTTTGCTAAGATCGGATATATAGATTGTAAACAGCAGTGGTCCCAAGACAGATCCTTGAGGAACACCCGCACTGACTTGGGCCGTAAAAGAAGTTAAATCCCTAGACTGATCACGCACTGCCTGCACTCTTTCCGTGAGATAGGAGACAATCCAGTTAAGTACTGATGAGGAAAAACGGGCGTGTTCCGTTTGACCACAGTACGATTCGACACCTATCGATTCGACACCAAATTATT